CTCCCCACGGCCGCGCCCAGCAATCTGAGAGGGCAGTTTCTGTCCCGGTGCAGCGAACGTCGTCCAGCCAGATGGGGCCGGAGCCTCGCCCAAAGCGAGCCTCGTGTGGGGCTGGCAGAGCCGCCCCGCAGCCCAGCTGCCGGCACACGACTCCAGCATCCTGTAGGTCCCAGCCGCGATCGCACACGGTCCCCCACTGCTGGTCGTGCAGCACCTCGACTCTCCCAGCGCAGCGACTCGAGCCGTTCGCCAGCCGGAGCGGGGCCATATCCGGAAGGGCTGAATCTACCAACACCCCCAGGACAGAAACATTCAGGGAGGCTTGTGTGCGTGAAATCACAAGCGATGCGGTAACGTAACCGTATCCACTGGTGGATTAGCCCCTCACAGGGGGTGAGATGGCTAAAGACGTCCCGAGGTGGCGTGGAGCCCCCCCCCCTCCCGCCGCCTCCAGCACACAGGACACCAGTGCTATGTGGTGCATGGGCTTAGGTGACAGCTCCCTTCTGGGGCCAGGCCCTGCGGGTTCCACTCTCCTAGTGGCTCACTGCCTGCTTGAGCTTGTTACTGGGGCTGAGAGCAGAGGGCCCTGCACTACATGCAGTACAGAACCCCTGTGCTGTGCCTCTGCCTCGAGATTTGAAGGGAGCAGGAGGGGAGAGCGGCCACTGCTGGTTAATGTCCCCTCTAATCTTTTCCGTTCATGTGCGGAATAAATTTTGTCTGCAGCGAAGCATGTGGGGCTGTGCACCACCCATAGGAACAAAACCTCGCAGTGGGCACTCTGCTGATCAGCTGGGCGGCACTGGAATCGCTGCGGCGCGGACGCCCAAACACAGTGTCCAGGGCACATGCCTGCTGGCTCACGCGCCTCCCTTTGGTGCAGGCGTGGGCACTGGGGCAAACACTGCATCATGGGCAGCTCTCGCCCTGCTCAGCCACCTGCTCGTCCCCCCCACCAGCAATGCAACTCGCATTCGTCAGCACTCGGGGAGAGCCCCGCCCCCGTGTCTCGCCAAGAAAGCCCTGAACCCTCCCCCTCCCGGCAGCGCCTCACACCTTTGGGGTCTGTTGAGTTACAAAGGCAGTCGGCTCCGTGTGACTCAGATTGTCTGTGGCTCCTCTAGGAGGAGGGGGTGAGCCAATGCAGCCCCCCTGCCTCTCAGCCCTTGGGAGCTTGGCCCTGGGGAGGGGCTGGCTGCCCACCCATTCACCATCTCCTCCCAGGGGGAGAGTGGCTTGCTAGAGACCCGCATTGCCAAAAGGACTGGGTTAAATAACCGGCGAGAAACTGCCTTGGGGCATCTTCCTTGCCCAGGGGAGGGGCAGGCCGTGCCGTGCCCCGAGGGCCCTACTCCTTAGGGCAGCGTTTGAGGGGCTGGCCTGCCCTCAGCCCTACAGGACTGAGTTCCTGCTCAGAGCCGAGCCCACTGGGTAGGGGGTGACGGGCAGCTCCTGCCCCAGCCCGTGGGGGGATCGCTGGCCAGTTTCTGACCATGCATGTCGGCTCGTTCATGGTTTGAATGTTTTCTCTCTCACTGTTCTACTTTACGAATAAATGTGTTTGCTTATTGTGGGGCGTGTGCGTGTCGGGTAACTGGGCAGCGACGCTGTGAGTCGCCTCTGAAGAGAAGGCTGTCTTGCTGGGGAAGGTCACGTGCAGTGCACCCCTGGGAGAGGGGATTGAGACGTGGCTTTCTGCCCAAGGACAGTGATGGCTACGAAGCTGGAAGCCTGGTGGGAGGGACCCCTTGATCCTGAAGGGGGAACGCAGGCACAAGTACACGGACCCGTGACAAGACCACCCTCCCTCCCGGCAGCGCAGGCACGTGGCGCTGTGTAGAAGGGGAGACGGATGTGGGATACCTGAGCACACAACACCGGCATCTTCTCCATGGTGGCAGTTATGGTCTCCCCATGGCTGAGCCCTGCATCTGGAGAGGGCAGCCTCCGCCCCGCGGCACTGAACCTCATCCAGCCAGATACGGTCAGAGCCTTGTCCAAACCAGGCCTCCCCAGGGGCTGATAGCGCCGTCCCACAGCCCAGCTGCCGGCACACAACACCAGCATCTTGCATGTCCCAGCCGTCATCACACACGGTCCCCCACTGCTGGTCGTGTAGCACCTCGACTCTCCCAGCGCAGCGACTGGGGCCGTTCACCAGCCGGAGCGGAGGCGTGTCAGGAATGACTGAATCTGCCACCACGCCAAGGAAAGAAACACACAGACAACGTTTTCTAACTCTGATCATGAATAACACCGGGGAAGGTCGGGCCCGGCCGGGATGGGGTGTACAAACCCCACCCTAGACAATGAGGGGCTAAGGGATTATTTTGGGCTCTGCCAGCCACACCCTGCCAGATCTGCAGCCAACGCTCTGGCTGCGGGAGGAATTAAAAGACAGGGAATTGGCTTATTTGTGTGGCTGAGCTGGAGGTGAGCAGAGCCAAGCCAAAGACTCTGACACAGCTGCCCAAAAGGTCCCTCCCTGCAGAAAGGGACCCATCCTGTAGACAACCAGAGAGGGAAGTACGCGTGGACTTCGGACTCTGGGTTTCCCCATCCCTAAGAAATCACTGAGGGTGATTCTCACTCTGTTGATCTTAAAACTGCAGCAACAGGAGCCAGATCTACCATAGCTTAACACAGATCCATTCATTCAGTTCCATTCACCTGAGCACACAGCGCCGGCGTCGTCTCCGTGCCGACAGCTATCGTCTGCCCCAGGCTGAGCCCCGCAATCCAAGAGGGCAGCTTCCGTCCCGGTGCAGTTAACCTTGTTCAGCCAGACGGCACCAGATCCTTTCCCAAACCGAGCCTGCCCTGGGGCTGCCACTGCGGTCCCACAGCCCAGCTGCTGGCACACAACCCCGGCGTCGGTTAAGTCCCAGTCGTGATCACACACGGTTCCCCACTGCTGGTCGTGCAACACCTCGACTCTCCCAGCGCAGCGATTGGGGCCATCAGCCAGCCGGAGCTCTGGTGGGTCTATAACGGGGAAAGTCACAAGCCCCACACTGGTTAAACGCTCAGGCAGGCGCCTGCACATGCCATCGCTGAGACATTGGGGAATGTTACGCCCCCTGCTGACGGATCAAGTGCCATTACACTGTGAGCGGAATAAAGGGTCCCGTGGCATCCAGTGTGGCACCTGCTCTACAGCTGCCCTGTGAGAGGTTTAAGGAATAGCAAAGAGATTGTCCAGTCATTGCAAATAATGGGAGTCACAAGTCTGACTGTTCGCAACGGGAGCCCAGATTTCTGCTGCTGGAGAGCAGCTGCAGGTTCCATTTGCCACCGAGCCCCTCCCATGGGATCTGTAATCCTACGGTGCCCCATGGTGCTGCAGTGAGAGAGGGGGTCATCAATGGTGCATGTGAGAAAACACTTTTCACCAGGGATTAAATTCTCACAGGGTACGTCTACACAGCAACATTATTTCGAGATAACATAGTCCACATCTATACAGCAGGCAGTTCTTTCAAAATAGTGTTGAAATCCTGTCAAGCTGGAGGAGTTATTCCAACTCCTGTGGCCCTCATTGTACGAGGAGTAAGGGGGAAGAGTGCTCTATTTCAAAATAAGGGCTGTGTAGACGCTCTCAATTTCAAAATAAGCTACGCAATTGACATAGCTCAATTTGCATCGCTTATTTCTAGTTAAGCCCTGCTGTGTAGATGCACCCATAGGCTGTGTCTACATTGGCGCGATCCTGTGCCAAAGGGGCTGCTTTTGCACAAAAACATGCTGCCTGTCTACACTGGCGGGGAGTTCTTGCGCAAGAACACTGACATTCTAATGTGTGAAATCAGGGCTTCTTGCGCAAGAACTAGGATGGTCCCACTCAGGAATAAGCCCTTTTGCACAACTGTTCTTGCGCAAGAGGCCAGTGTAGACAGGCAACATGAATGTCTTGCGCAAGAAAGCCCGATGGCTAAAATGGTCATCAGAGCTTTCTTGCACAAGAGAGTGTCTACACTGGCACGGATGCTCTTGCGCAAAAGCACATCTCTTGTGCAAAGGCACATGCCAGTGTAGACGGTCTCTTGCTCAAATACTTTAACTCAAGAACTCTTGCATTAAAGAGTATTTGCGCAAGATCATGCCAATGTAGATGTAGCAATATAATATATCCCGTGGCCCCCAGCCTCTCCATCATGCAGTAAAAACTCAGGGGAGGCTGGAAAATATTTCCTGCTGCTCCAGCTGAATTTAAGTTCCACTTTTTGCTCCAGGATGCCCCATGCACGGAGCACCCTGGAGCATCACACTGCAGCAAGATCGGTGAGCGAATTGCCCGCTGGTTTGACAGCAATGTTACGCCTGGCAGCACGGTGAGCCATGCCGAGGCACTGGGTCAGTATGGACTGGGACAGGAGATTCCTCTAAAGAGCTCCCAACATGTGATCTTGCTTCCCAAAGGCCAGTGGCCACAGGGAGTCCTGCCCTTCCAACGGAGTTCAGAGCTGTCAGACTGACACGGGGCTTCCTGCCAGCACAGGCCTTCACGCAGATCTCTTGGGCAATGACTCAGAGAGGGGCTCCCCCTCCTTAGCCACTAGCAGCTCCCTAAAGGGCATCGCTTCATAGCAAAGCAACTGGCCACTGAGGTCAGCACACAGAGGCCCATCCCTTGGGAAGCACCCAGCTCCTCCCTGCAGCACAGCGCTTCCTCCTGCCAAGTTGATGGGATGTGAATGGGCATCATTCACCTGAGCATGTCACACTGGCATCCTTTGTGTGGTTACAGTTATTGTCGCCCCACGGCCTAATGTTGCACTCGGAGAGGGCAGCTTCTTTCCCTGTGCAGTGCACGTCATCCAGCCAGATAGCGCCAGATCCTTCTCCAAAGCAAGAGCTGCAGGGGGCGGATAACGGCGACCCACAGCCCAGCTGCCGGCACACGACTTCGGCATCCTGCAAGTCCCAGCTGTCATCGCACACGGTTCCCCAGCGCTGGTTATAAAACACCTCGACTCTCCCAGCGCAGCGACTCAGGCCATTTACCAGTCGGATCGGAGCCGTGCCGGGATCAGCTGATTCTGCAAACACCCCCAGGGAAGACACACACAAAGAAATTACTATGCCCCAGATCACTAGGGCTGGGCAAATACTGGCCTGTGGGCCACATCCAGTCCACCGGGGTTAGCCCTGGGCAGGCCCCCACTACTATATGTACCTGGGTCACTGGGGCAAACACTGAGTCAGGGGACAGGTTTCCTCATATTGAGTCACCCACTTGCCTCCCCTAATGTACATCGCTCGTCAGCAGCACAACGGATCACGGGGGCCGCCATGCACTCAGAAGGGAGAAAGTCCCCTAGTGAGACACCTGTGATAGTCCGACACTGTCCTGGAGGTGCCTGGGCGTTACGCTGGGTATCGGGAGTTAAAAATCAATCGCACCTCTGTGTGTGCGAGATTGTTGCTCCGGCAGGAGAAGGGGGGTAATTAATGGGTGGGGGGTCAGTCTCAGCCCTTTGGAACTTGGCCCTGGGGTGGGGACCCATTTGCTGACCAATCACCCATTCACTCATTTCAGCATGAAACTTTTGAAGGGTTGCCGGCTTTCGAACCACCTAAAACCAAACACCTTTGCCCTGCCCCCTGCCTTGTCCCTTCTATGTGACCTCACCTCCTGCTCACTCCACCTCCTCTGTTGCTTGTTTTCCTCCAGCCTCACTTCCACTGGGCCGGGGCTGGGAGGTTTGGGTGCAGGAAGGGACTGCAGGCTGTGCCAAGGGGATTGGAATGCAGGAGGCCTGGGGCAGGCGGTTGGGGGCCGTGTTTCCTCTGGCGTGCAGAGCCCTGCAGCTGCCTAACAAGCCCAGTGCAGGCACTCAGGGCTGCGGCTCTGAGAGCTGCCTCTCCCCCAGCATAGAGCACTGCCTCTGCCTGCCAGCCCCAGCACGGAGCTGCCGCTGCTGTGGCGAGTGAGGGCTGGGCGGAGCCCTCGCTCATGGGAAATCTGCACTGAGCCCCCCATATCCTCAGCCCCACCCCAGAACCAACCCCCCTCAGCCTGAACCCCTCCCACACTCTGAGCCCCTCAGCCACGCTCAGAATGAATTTTGTTATGTGTCCCAATGTGGAGGAGACGGAATGGACAAGGCAGCATTTGTTTGGGCCAAAATCATTCTGGTGAAGCCATCAGCGTTTCCCCTGCGGGCCTCAGGCTCGGCTCTGCAACTAGAGAGGCACCCAATGTTTAATTTCATGAATAGTACTCGGAATTGTGACGATGGGAGCCTTTAACTTCCCAGCTACAGGCTGGAGGATAAATTGGGATAGTAGGACCCAGCTTTTCCTGGGTGTGACACCTGACAGATTTCTTCACCAAACAGTCACCAAACCAGCAAGAGGTGACGCCACGTTAGGGTGGGCATTGGGCGGTAGGGGGGACCTCAGAGGAGAACTGGTTGGAGGAGACGAGTTTGGCTTGAGTGACCACGACCCAATTCAGTTTAAATGGAATGGAAGGCTAAACAGAAAACAGCTCTGCACCACGGGCCCTTCGTTTCAGAATGGCAAACTTGAGAAAATTAAGGAATGAGTGAGAGAAGTGGATTGAATGGAAGAATCAAAAGATCTGAACGTGGAGGATCCTTGGAGTTACTTTAAGTCAAAGTTGCAGAAATGATTTGAAAGCTGCACCCCAAGCAAGGGGAAAAATCGCAGGGAAGGGTTGCGGATTAAGCTGGATGAGAAAGCATTTTAGACAAGGGACTAAGGCCACATCGCACTTACTGGAGGATCAGTGCCCTGGCGATCAATCTTCCAGGGTTCAATTTAGCAGATCTAGTAAAGACCTTCTAAATTGAATGCTGAAGCTGCCCCTGTTGGTGCGGGTACTCCTCTCTTCTCTGTCATGAGGAGTAAGGGAAGATGACAAGAGTGTTTCTCTTGTTAACCTCCTGCTGTGGAGATGGCACCAAGTTCAGCCTAAGGTACTTGGACTCCAGCTACGTTATTTATATAGCTGGAGTGGTGTACCTTAAGTTGACCTTCCCCCACAGGGCAGACCTGGCCAGAGAAAGGACAAAGCCTACACGGACTAGAAGCTGGGAGGCATCAGAAAGGCAAGCTACCTTTTGGAGGTCTGAAAGTGTAGGGATGAAGTAAGAACTGCCAAAAGCCAAGCAGAGTTGTCCTTTGCAAATGAAATTAAACCCAACAATAACAGGTTACATAACCCAACACATAACAGAAAACAATGAAAGAAGAAGTGTGCCCGGTACAGGAGTGGGCAGGTGAGGTTCTTGGCTTTCATGATGGTCCTTAAAGTCTGTGAGTCTGTGACATGGGCGAGGCTTACCTGAGCACCTGACACTGGCATCTTCTTTGTGGCCACATTTATTGTCTCCCTTAGGGCTGGCCCTGCATTCAGAGAGGGCAGCTTCTGTCCCAGTGCAGTTAACGTCAGTCAGCCAGATGTGGTCAGATGCATACCCAAACCAGGCCTCCCCTGGGGCTGCCAACGCCGTCCCACAGCCCAGCTGCCTGCACACGACAGTAGCATCATGTAAGTCCCAGCCATCATCACACACGGTTCCCCACTGCTGGTCGTGCAGCACCTCGACTCTCCCGGCACAGCGATTGGGGCCGTTCACCAGCCGGAGTGGAGCTGGATCTGCAAACACTTCAAGGAAAGAAACAGAGATTCCTGTGCACCATATTGTTAGTGATGCTGGGGAACATAACACCTCCCACTGGGTCTGAACAGCCTCCACACATAGCCGCTTATCAGGTTCTCTCTCCCCATCACTGCTCTGAGCTGCAACAGAGCAGCTGAGAAGCAGGTGAGAGAAATCTGGTCCAGTCATTTAGGTAGGACAAGTGGGACAAGTTTCTGTCCAGTTGCAATGGTGCTAAGTGTTACAGGTTCCTGGCTTATCAGTTAAGATGCTAATTGGCTGGGGTGATGGGGTTAAGAGCCCTATGCTTGACCAAGTGACCCAGGGCCCTCCTTGTGAACAGCTTTAGGCTCTATTTGACATTGAATCTGGCCAGCAGGACTCATAGATTCCAAGGCCCAAAAGGTCCACTGTGAGCCCTGTGTCTGACCTCCGTTCTGTGGTGAGAGAGGCCCTTTAGAGCTCACACAAGACCTTCTTCAGGTCAAAGCTGTGTGTGGCTGGACAGCTTGTGTCTCCCCAAGAGAAGACGATCCAATAAAAGACATCACCCGCCTTGTCCCTTTCGTAGCCTGGGACCGACATGGCTGGAACTACATGGACACAAACATGGCAGCCGTCCAAGCAGAGCACATCAAGGCTGTTCCCTTAAGCAGCCAAACCTCCCCGCTCATCAAATCAGGCCTCAGGTGAGTCAGACTAGAACTCAGTGGCCACAGAGCGCCCGCAGTGCTGTAGCTGGGTGGGGGGTCACAGTGAGCAGCGGTGGAGAGGGCCTCTCACAGTGACATAGACCCCAGCACCACGCTGGGGTCTCAGGGTCAGCGCTGACTCTGAGAGAACAGCCCCCTCCTGGGGTCCCCAAACCGCTCCCTGCAGCAAGGCCATTAGATCTGACCTGGGGCCTTGTAGTAACACAGGAGTCTGCAGGGGGAGCTGGCACACAAGGTCGGGACTCGCTGTGCGGGGGGAGCGCCCCAGTGAGTCCCTGACCTGCTTCTCACAGCACTCACAGGGGCATAACGGGGCTTACCTGAGCACACCACACCAGCATCTTCTCCATGGTGACAGTTGATATTCTTGCCCCACGGCCGAGCCCAGCATTCAGAGAGGGCAGCTTCTGTCCCCGTGCAGTTAACATCACCCAGCCAGATTGGACCGTGTCCTAGTCCAAAGTGAGCCTTGCCTGGGGCTGATACCGCCGTCCCGCAGCCCATCTGCCGGCATCGGTTAGGTCCCAGCCGTCATCACACACAGTTCCCCACTGCTGGTCATGTAGCACCTCGACTCGCCCGGCGCAGCGACTGGGGCCGTTCACCAGCCGGAGAGGACCTGGGTCCGGAATGACCGTGTCTGCAATTGCAATAAACACTCACGGAGAGTCCTGTGCACCCAGTCACAAGTGATGCTGATCATGGGCAGCGGGTGAAGGCCCAGCTGATGAAGGCAAGTCCCTTCTGCCCGGGCTCTGCCCCTGGAGCCAAGCCCCGCCCACCCCCAGTCCAATCCTTCCTGGTCACTTGCAGGGCTGGGGCTGCCATGCTGCAGCCCCAGCTCCAACCCCAGCTCTCCCAGCAGTCAGGGAGCCAGGCTGCCGTTTGATGGCCCCAGCCTTCCCCTGCCACCGGAGAATCAGGCTGCCACACTGCAGCTCGTTTCCCTGGGTGGCCCAGGCATGTAGGCAATTTTGGGAAGGCTGTGCCTTCCCTTGCCTACATTACCGGCTGCCCATGATGCTGATGAATGAATCCCTACCACGGATGGGTACCACTGGCCTCCTCACACAGCCACTGCATGCCCAAGGCTCAGTCCCCTCCACTGACATGCTGCCACTGCTGGGGTGGGACAGGGCAGCTGAGGGTCAGGGCACAGAAATATGGTGACTGCACATGACAGGAATTTGGGGGAAATGTTGCATCCAGTCAGAGCTGTGGGGATGTCACAGGGTCAGGGCCAATTTTCTGTGGTGCAAATTGTCCTGCACCGCTGAGTTAAGAGCTCAGCTCTTGACAAAGTGCTTCCAAGTTTCTAGTCCCCAGGAGGGCCTGCAAGCTGTGTGTGACACCAAGTGTCACAGCTGGGACCTGTCACCAGTCAGGTGTTCCCGATAGGTTCCTGACAGGTCGTCTGCGCCATCAGTGATGACAAACTTTTGGCTGCGTGAGTGTGTGTGTGCTCTCCTGCCTACCGGTTTAACCATGTGCAATTAGTCAATAAGACAGATTCTGAGAGAATCCCCGGAGACCACAACATCAGATAAGGATTGAAGCACCAGGCCAGGTTTATTGACAAGCGAAGTTCAATAATCGTCGGCAAACACACTCGCACTGAACTAGTACACATGTGTACCCCGTGACAATGGACTAGCTCAGTCAATATTATGGATCCAGTATTGTCACCTCAGCCAACGACAATTCTGTGGGGTGCACTTTTATACAGGGGTACAAGCAAGCTACGCATCTCTCCTGATGTGTGAGGTTGCCAACCTCTGATGTATTTTGTACATGGCCGGTCGATCACTATCTTGCTGTCAGTTTAGACCCGGTCCTGAGCCTGGGTTGGTATGGCTCTCGTTATCTGGGGGAGAGGTGTTGGTGCCGAGATGTTTCTCGACGAGATGTTCTGTTCCAACCCCTCTGGAATGTGCTCACAGCCGGTGCCTAGTACCTCTTAGGCAGGAGTGTTTCTGTGATCTCAGCCCTGTTCCTGCCGGTTTCTGTGAGCAGGGGCCTGGCTCTTGCTCACAGCTTAACTCTGCTTCATATTGGCAAAGTCTGGCCCATTGCTGTCTAGGCCTCAGGCCTCACACCTGGCTTATGTTTCAGGCCTTCCTCTTATTACAGGACCCAGGCTTCCCCAGCACAACATTGTGCCAGGGGGTCAGAACAATCAGAGCAGGGGGAAGGACTCTCACTGTGCCTCCCTGCAGCTCATGTCCACTCTAGGGAATAGAGAGCGTCACTGACTAAGGGGTGAGAGCTCCCCCGTCTGAGCCCCACACCCAGTCACACAGACCTTTTATCAGGCAGCAGGAGGGCTGGCCTCAGCCCCCTACTGCTTTCCCAGCCTGCTCCCTTCAGAACTCAGACGGGGAAGCAGCTGACTGGGCTGAAACCTTCCGAATCTGCTCCCTGCAGCCCCTGCCATGACCTGAGACAGGGCTCACCTGAGCACTCCACGCCGGCGTCTTCCACGTGGTTACAGTTGTGCTCTCCCCAAGGCTTAGCCCTGCATTCGGAGAGGGCAACTTCCGTCCCGGTGCAGTTGACCTCGTCCAGCCAGATACGGCCAGTTCCATGTCCAAAGCGAGACCCGTGTGGGGCTGCTAGCGCCGTCCCGCAGCCCAGCTGCCGGCACACTACTCTGGCCTCGGTTAAATCCCAGCCGTCATCACACACGGTTCCCCACTGCTGGTCGTGCAGCACCTCGACTCTCCCAGCGCAGCGATTGGGGCCGTCCACCAGCCGGAGCTGAGCTAGTTCTGGGCTGCCTGAGTCTGCAACATCCAAAGGGACAGACACTCAGGGCCGGCAAGAGGCTTTTCTCCTGGACTGTGTCTACATTGGCACCCCTTTCCGGAAAAGGGATGCTAATGTAGACTTCGGAATAGCAAAATCCACAGGGGATTTAAATATCCCCCGCAGTATTTGCATTAACATGGCTGCCGCTTTTTTCCGGCTTGGGGATAAGCCGGAGAAAAGCGCCAGTCTAGACGTGATTCTCCGAAAAATAAGCCCTTTTCTGGAGGATCTCTTATTCCTACTTTGAAGTAGGAATAAGAGATCCTCCAGAAATTCCAAAGTGTCTAATCTGCATCCCTTTTCCGGAAAAGGGG